GAACAAGTTGCATACAAACAGGATACAGGGAAAGTATTGAAATGAAATAATTTTCTTTTAAAGTATGAAACAAGAAGTAAGAGTGAGTGTGACTACCAACAATTAACTCTGCATTAATGTTTTCACTGACTAGGATCTCTCCATCTTCAAACACTAAATAATGTGTAGAAATAGCCTGTGTTAAGGATGTGGGATGGACAGACAAAGCATATCTTGAATGTGGAGTGCAACAAGTCCCATGTCTGGGTTTGAGCTGGAAAGGAAACTTGGGGAGGTGGGTAAAAGAGGTAAAAGGAAGAGGTAAAACTTACTTGTGCAAGGTAACACATAATATTGGATGCACAGAAGTTCTGATAATCCACAGACTACTCAATTTGCAGTCCAGAACTGGCTGTCATTTCTGAAATTGCTTTAAACTCTGAGCAGCTCAGTTCACCATGTCACACACAATTCAAAATAGGAATCAGAAAATTTTGTACTTCCAACAAGTCATCTGCAGGCATCTGACACTCACTATAGATATATGTGTTTCATTAAAAATCAGGTTGTAGATGATTAATCCACTTACCATGAACATTAGTAGGACTCAGCAACAGAGCTTGGCTGCTGATCCCATCAGCTAGAGAAGCTGGTAGCTGGAATCTGTACCAACATCTGAAATGTGATGCTGGCACACAAGAACAAAATTGGGTGCACATTGCGTTCAACATGTGAGCAGAGGGAATCAGCAGCCTACTGAGAGCTTTAACTACTTAATGAGGAATATTCTACATGCTGTGTATTATGTACTGAACATTTTTGTAACTTTTAACTGCTCTCTGCTAAATGCATGGAATTTTTATTAATTCAATTTGTATTAATTTCAGTTTTGAAAAAGGATGGTTTGGTGGACTTCCAGAGTCTGTACAACAGTTCTCTCCCTTAGAAAAGTGTTGTACCTCAGGGGAAAAAAAAAGACTGGAAGAAAAAAAAAGGAAAAAAAAAAAAGACCCTAAATGAAAAAAGATCATTTTATCTCATCCATTGAAATAAACAAAAAAATATTATTTTTAAAAAAACTTTTTAGAAATGAGGAAAAGATCCTGATTATTTGGATCTTCTTTGAAGATTTTTCTTCAACTTTTTTTTCAAAGAGTTTCAAGCCATATGCTTGGGCTACGATCTTTAGTTTAAAAAGGAGGTCAATGAAGCTGTTTTGTTGTATACCAAGGCTGAATTTGTCTTGCAACTAGTCAAAAACTAAGTTTTCAGGACTTCTCATAGTGAAAGATAGCTAAAGATTCAAACAAATAAAATTTTCTTCCCATGACCTTTCTAAGATGTTGATCAGGCAAACTCCTTTTAGATTTGTGTGCTTCATAAAAAACCCAAACAAACAAACACAAAACCAAACCACAACCAAACCCAAAAGGCAGCACTGAGGAATAGGACTTGGTTTGTCCCATCCACCAGAAAATCCTAGGAGTTTGGATCTGTATTGGGTTTGTCTAAAATGTGGTGCTTGTTCATAGGAACAACAGTATTTTTAGAGGCTCGTTACCTTCAAAATGAGAGAAGATGGAATTAGGATGAAGCAGAAGGAAAGCATAAAGTGACTTAATTTCACTTCTGTCATTACAACTGTTTGTGAAAAACACGCTAGAGTCTTTTCAACACATTGCCTAGTATTATGTAATATAATATTAAGGAAATATATTTGTTAATGTAAAGTAAATCCATAATTATCTCTGACTGATAAAATGTTCCTTCTGTATAGGTTTCTGTGCTTGGTGCTGTGCAAGCTATGTCCAGAATGTCCTGATCCAAGAGTTTACAAGTGAAAACAAAACACAACAAGAGATAAGAGGAATGAGTGTTGGCTCAAAATCAGTGATGTATATGGTAGTGTGCCTGACAAAATGTGTGCATCTTGCTGGTTTACATTGCTATGAATGGAAATGGTGAGATGATAAAAAAATCTGCTGCCAAATTAATTAGTTTTTTTTAATTGGCTTTGAACCTCTGAAAAATGATTGCCTTTAGGATAACAGAGTAGGTTGCTCAGCAGTTTTTGGAAATAACTGAATGTCTTCTTCAGTTAGGGATACTAAAACACTGTTGAATATAGGTACAGTTTAAAGTCTTGATCTGCTTTGACAAGTGCTGAGTGCCAGGTGCACTGTGGCCTTTCACAGTGTCAGTGTTGAGCCAATCAATAGTAAACAGCTAGTCAGGCAGTTCTACCTGTAGATAACCCCTTGTTATTTGGCATTTTTAAAGAAAGGATCTGAAGCAGAATGCACTATCTTTCTGAAATACAGCCCAGAAACAGTGCTAATTATTTACATACTATTAGATTAGTGCACTGTTGAATACACAGTTAATCCTTATTATATCTGAGTTGTTGGTAAATTTTAGTGTGGTTAGGTTGCTCTTTTCAGATAAAAAATGTTCACAGTTGTCTAAAATCACCGAAGTGTTGCTGTTAAAAGAGGTTGCCCACTATTATATCTATTAAAATTTCCTACCTAGTTTGACAACTACAATGCTGACTTAGCTTCAGCCATCTTCAACCTCCATAAATTTGTTTACTTTTTCCCTCCATCACTGTGTAGCAAGATGCTGGAGGATGCTCTATGAGCCTCCCAAAGGTGGATCTTACCCCAGTGGTGACTTAGTGTCTGATAAATTATCTATCCATGTTATGGACAGGCCTTACAAAGATCTGCTGAGATTAATTCACTTAGGTTATATAAATCTGGTTGTATTTGCTGACTGTAGTCTCACATAAGACTGAGGCTGTTTTTGTATATGTTGGTGTCAGCTGCCAGAAATAAATGAACTATGAACGTACAGCAATTTTGCAGTTAAGGCAAAGGCAGAAAAATCTGTTTGTTAAACACCAACCACACAGTGTAAGATAGTTTGCTTAACTTGTGACTAGAAGTTCAGACTGAATTATAAGTGTTCAGATCAGTCCCTGCTCAACTCCTTTCTGAAAGTTAACAGATTTAGAGTGTGTGTAATTGAGGGGCTTGGTGTGATAACTGTTTCATTGACTGAGGAAAGGAAGCCATAGAAAAGCTGCAAATCTCTGATATAGGTAGATATATGGGAGGGGAATGATAGAGAAGTATATCTTGTGAGTCTGAATATAATAAATTTGCCAGCCCTGCATTTCAAATGTAAATTTGTTTCTCAGAATAAAAGCAATTCTGTCTTCTGGCTGTAGAAACATTTTGTTGTCTAACGAATGGCGTGTGTTAGAAAAATGCAACCATTCAACATTGTCCCTTGTAACTAGCTTTTTTCCAACGAGATTTAAGATTTTGGTGTGGCAACATACCAGCATTCTGATGCCACATTTTCTCTTGCTGGTACCACTGGAACCCAGACTGTAAGCTGCCCTTTCCAGTTGGGTGTTCGTAGATACTTGCTGGGCTTCTTTAAGGTACTCAGTTTCAGGTTGGGTATTAACTGATTGAAAAAGTGATACTCTGAGTGCTTTGTAAGTTGTATTAATGAAAACATAAAATAGATTGTTTATTTACTAAAATAAATACCATTTTAAAGTATGAAGAGCCTGCCTCAAGCTCTGAGATCCCTATCATATATTTTTCTTCTACTAGCAAGTAACATCTTAAAAATATAAAAATCCAACCCAGAAGTGTTGGTCATTTGCTGCCATTTAGAAAGAAATTTGTTTCTTCCTTGATATTATGCAGTGGTAAAATTTCAAGCTGCTATGAGGAAGCACATAGGTTCTAGGTATTTTCAAAGACCCATTCAGGAATCTCTTTGTCTCTTTGTTTCCCTAACACCTTCAAAAATCTTCAAGTCTTCAGAGAGTTTTTTCAAGGATGATACTGGCAATAAAATGTCTATTAAGCTGAAAATTCAGAATAACAAACAGATTTATAACGTGTTATAAGTCCTGGCTTAGGGAGGAATTTAAACACAACATCTGTTCAGGTACCACACCATTACTGTTAGAGTGCTGACGTGGTGATAATATATTGTCACTTAAAAGAAGTTAACCATTGTAGCAAAGGAACAACTGCCCTCAAAACACCTTTTCATCTGGTGTGTTTTACTGCATACAAGAAAGTTTATTTCCCCCTCCAGCTGTTTGACTCAGTGTTAATTTTTATGACCCTGGACATTCTCTTTTCTTCAGTGCTTGACTGTGATAACTGAGTTGAAGATCAGACAGTAAATGTTTTTTAAGTTCTTAACAATCCTTTGTGAGGACTGTCTCCAGGTTATTTAAATGTATGTTATCTATTCATGTGCATCTACTAGAACTTAATTTGTATTTCCCTATTTGTTCTTATTGTCCTGGATTTGTGACTTTGATAGCAGGACTGTGGATCCTAACACACTGGTAAAGCTGTACCATGACAGTAAGAGAGATTTTCCTAGGTTTATTCTTAGTCCTGCGTAAGAGTACAAGTGATGAATGACTGTGAATATAACAGACTCTGCAACCAGCTCTACCTCTAACATGGAAGAGGTTTTCTATCAGTATATATTCTGTGTTTGTGAACTATTGACAATCCAAGGGAAATCGGGTGTTTGGATCTCTTCCTAGGACCCTCTGAGGTGCCTTTCAGGCCAGCTGTGAACTCCTGGGCCATAATCTCAATACCATTAGAGTCAGCTCCATTTTCCAACATGTGGGAGGTGGACAGCCTTAACTCTTGGTATGATTGGTGTGTATGGGGGCTGTTTGTGAGATACTTTGACAACTGAATGGAACACAGATGATTTGGCATAGCTTAAAGAATTTGTTGGCAGTTTCTGAATGAGTTGCAGCCTGTCATCGAGTGTATCAGGTGTTCATCACCAAGACTTTTCCTCCTCCCAGACTCCTGGTCTATGTGTGAGAGTTTTATGCATATGAATTTTATGAAACATTGGAGATGAATCAGTAAAAGATTTACAATGATCGCTGACATTGTTAGTATTAAGGTGAAGAGCTGTGTGGTTCTGATGTCTCTTTTCCCTCTTTTTGCTTTCAGTTCATCGCCTTTGCCTCTTTATTCTTCATTCTAGTTTCAATCACAACCTTTTGCCTGGAAACTCATGAGGCTTTCAATACTATTATAAACAAAACTGAGCAGGTTGTCAACGGGACAGAAACTGTGCTACAGTATGAAATTGAGACAGATCCTGCCCTGACGTATGTGGAAGGGGTCTGTGTGGTATGGTTTACATTTGAATTTTTAGTACGCGTTGTGTTTTCCCCCAACAAACTTGAATTCATCAAAAACCTCTTGAATATCATTGACTTTGTGGCCATCTTGCCCTTTTACCTAGAAGTGGGCCTGAGCGGGCTTTCCTCCAAAGCTGCTAAGGACGTGCTTGGTTTCCTCAGGGTGGTAAGGTTTGTGAGGATCCTGCGAATCTTCAAGCTCACCCGACACTTTGTGGGCCTCAGGGTGCTGGGCCACACTCTGAGAGCCAGCACCAACGAATTTTTGCTGCTGATAATATTTCTGGCACTCGGTGTTTTGATATTTGCCACCATGATCTACTACGCAGAGCGGGTGGGAGCCCAGCCTAATGACCCGTCAGCGAGTGAGCACACGCAATTCAAAAATATCCCTATTGGCTTCTGGTGGGCTGTGGTCACCATGACCACCCTGGGGTACGGGGATATGTATCCACGGACTTGGTCAGGCATGCTGGTGGGAGCCTTGTGTGCGTTGGCGGGGGTGCTCACCATAGCCATGCCCGTGCCTGTGATAGTTAACAATTTTGGGATGTACTACTCCCTGGCCATGGCAAAGCAGAAACTGCCAAGGAAAAGAAAGAAGCACATCCCTCCTGCTCCTCAAGCCAGCTCACCCACCTTCTGCAAGACGGACTTGAATATGGCCTGCAATAGCACACAGGGTGACATCTGCCTGGGCAAGGACAACCAGCTGATGGAGCACAACAGATCATCAGGTAGGACCCCAGTGGAAATGCATGTCCTCTGAAAACACTTTATAGACCAGTATGTTTGGCAGGGGTCAGAAAGCAACCAGTCTTTCTGCCAGGAGAAGAAGTAGCTCCCACCCTTCTCCCCTCCAGTGTTTGCGTGTGTCAGTCTCATAGAGGACAAAATAGGTATAGTGATGTTCCCAAACCTCTATGTAGCTGGTCTATACAGTTTTGCTTGCTCTGTTGAGAATGCTTTTCTGCTGATGATATCAACCTTTTCTTTTGCCTGTTGTTTGTTATGTCATATGGATGTTTCTTGTTTTTCTGCATGACTGTGACTATTTGAGCAGCCACCGTGTCCCACCCTGTTGGACTCCATGGTGTTTTGCCTCAGTGTCTGTCTCTTGTGTCAGCTTTGCCTGTGCCACATCGTGGCTTGCTAAGCAAGATCCTACAAAGAAGCAGTCATTTAAAAGGAGCAGGTGCATTACATCAAAAGCCCAGCACTCAAAGGAAATAAGAAGAAATTATCTTTCTAGCTTTCTTTCCATTTGGCATTCTGCTTCCCTGGCTAGAAGAACATCCTTCATCTGTGTTAGATGAGACAATGCATGATATTTACTATTATTTGAGTGATAATAACATAGCTGATGTCATAGCCAAGAAAAATGAAAATGACAGCCCCTATAAATATCATCATTGATAGTGTTGATTTTTATGATTTATATCACTTTATTTGTTAGATTTCCAAATGAAGGATAAGGAATATTTTGTGCTAATTGCTGTGAAAATGCTTATCAAAAGACAGCCTCTGCCCCTCCAATCCACTGCCTCATATTCCATATCTCTTCAAACTAAAGAGTAAATTTTATCTCTCAGTATAATGAAATCAAAATTTTAACCATCAAAGATATTTTTTGTTTGTTTGTTTGTTTCTTGAATGTATTTATTCTTAAGCTTAGAGCAATCCAATTCCAGATCTCATGTACCAGTCATTAGACTACTGTTAGAAAGCTACCAAAGAATAAGAGCAAACCCACCCAGGACTGGTGTTGTTCAGGAGCTCATATTTGTTTCTTAAAAAGAAGGGTCTGGAAAATCAGTCTTTGAACAATATCTGTCTTTGGTTTATTGCTCTATTACTGAATAACATTTATGCTCAAAGAAACTTGGTTTCAGGCTCCAAATGAATGTTCACAGACAAAGTTAAAACAGCTTTTTGAATGTCCTAAATATCTTTAAGAGGATAGGAACCCTTGAAAAGACTCACACTGAAGGTGGAATACAGTTAGTTTTACAGTGCTTTGACTGATACACGCTTTCAGACATCTTTAAAGTGTTAATGATAACAGCTTTTTCATGCCATCAGGTCCTACTAAAAGTATTCCAGAATGGAGGAGGCTCAGCATGATGAGAGCAAAGAGACACTTTTCTGTGTCTGCAGCTTTATTTAAAAGGTGTTATAATCTTTGAAGTCAGATAGAAAGCAGATATGCAAAAAGCAGCCATTTTAAAGTGTTAACTTTCTCTTCAGTAGTACCACTGCTCACATAGAGCAGTGTAGCTTTATTTCTGATAGAGAATGCTATTAGAGTCACTAGAAATTCTGTGGAAAACGTCAAGGCTAAGTATAGCCTTGAATATAGCATTACCAGTTCAGGAAAACACATGCTCAAGTTTAAATGCAAAGCTAAAGCTGAAGTCAGTAACGTGTCATTACCTGTTATGTGCTATACTGAGCAGAGATTTTTTTTTGAAGTGAGGCCTGAATCTGAAATAATAGATAATTTTAAAAAAGAGTCTTTTGGGAGTGTCAAATCAGGAGAGGTAAGAGTTTCACTGTTTGATGAAATAAACTACAGAGACCAAAGACAGCATTTAATGTTGGGTACATACGATGACAAGCAGTGCAAATGTGATAAGCAAGAAATGAAAGCTAAGCGTGTTATTAAACAGGTTTTAGTGCCAATAGTTAAAAATATAACCCTCCAGAGGGAGGAGTTGTCTTTAAAATATTCCAAACAACATATTCTACGCAAAAATGACTAACATGACCTCTTGTTTATCAAAAAGGATAGCCAAGATAGTAAATACTTCTTTGAAATACCCAAGGCTGACTGTACTCCAAAAGGTTACAGTACAAATAGGCAAGTGACTGAGCCTTGGTTTGATTATTTCTTGTTTCATGTTAAAGTAGTTTATCTGAGATTTAAAAGAAGAGCAGGGAAGTCAAAAGATCATTTTTCTTGAATAAAAAAAATATACTTTTTTGCCATTTTGTACTGATTAACAGTAAATTGCGATCTTGTTTTCTTCTAATGATTTACCTTATAACTATTTTTGAGTGATGGGAATATCCAGCATTCAGCGTAAGCTCTTTGTGATGTCTCATTTCTTCATTCATTATTGTCTGTAAATGGGCATGGTGCTTTAACCAGTGTTATCAGGTGAAGACAGTGCAGGAAGTGAGCAGCCACTCTCACCTGGTGAAAGGCTCCCTCCCATCAGACGCTCTAGTACAAGAGACAAAAACAGAAGAGGGGGAACATGTTTCCTACTGACAACAGGGGATTACACGTGTGCTACTGATGGAGGGATCAGGAAAGGTATGGACTTCTTTCATTAGATCATAAAAGGTTACTCAGCAATGTGCTTGTGAAAAGCAATCTTAGAGTAAAATGATGTGCACAATGCGCTTAGAGAAAAGACTGTACTCACAATGTATCTTTCTTCTTTATTCCTAGTCATCCTTTTCCTGCTTTCCTTTTAGTAACACTCATCTCCTTTAGTCTTCACAAAACGTGCTTGATGTTGGACCTTCATTTCACTTGTCTTCATTTGTCTGTTATCTTTAATGGAAAAGCCTGCAATTCAGACCTTGACCATTCAACCACTCATCACTCAATACCATCTGTCATTCTAAAAGACAAATAAATTATTTAATGACTTTGGTCTGCACTTAATACCTTAGTAAAAATTATAGCTGAATAAATTACACTTGAAAGGTTGAAATGTCAGAAGTAAGAAATGTTTTTGTTCTGAGCACAACAAAGCATATCACATGAGATGCTATTTAGATTTATTTCAAAGAAAAATTTGAGTTTATAATGCCACAAAATGTTTCCTCTGTACTACATCACTGACACTAAAAGTTGACTGTCTACCCCAACCAGAGTTCAACTACAGTAAACAATGTTTGATCTTGCAAGGTGCTAAAAATGCTTTCTAGTTATTCAGCCTCTTCAAACCTGATTACTCACTGTTCAGTAGGAACGGATTCCCCAGGCAGAGATTTGCAAAACCTTCTGTTGTTATGTGCCTCACCCATGTGACTGGTTGTGTGGCTACCCCATCGGTTCACAGCTGGCTGTGGCTGCAAACCTGACCTCAGGGAATCAGGGAACCCCCGAATCAGCAATGCCAATAGCAGTCTTGCTATTTCCTTAGGTAAGAATTGTTTTGGTTTCTTGGCAGATTGTATCGTTCCAACAGGTTTCATGTTCCTGAGTGCTGATGTACAGTCGTTCACCTCAGAGTTCATGTGTAGTAGCCGTGTGACAATGGACAAACATTCCTGGCTGAGATTTTTTTTTTTGTAACCTTTCCTTGTGTACAGCAAATACAGCTGTCCCAGCCAGCCAGCCATAGACCCTAAAGTAATTATCTTGTTTTATTCTGCAAATGCTCTTTTTACTTTTCAAAAGCATGAACTCAGTAAGTTAAACCTGTGAAGGCAGATATGTGATTGGAGTTCACTGTGTATTATATTTGTAAAGGGTATAATTGTCTCTATGCTCCTGCTTTTTCATGTATTCTTATATATAATGCCTAGATTAAATAGGACTTCATTGCAAAAATGTTTTTGCAGAGATTTAGGACACTTTTCACTGGGCATATCTCACATACACATCAACAAATAGTAGTAAAATATCTCTACTGGTAAGATTACAGCCTTTGAGGAGGTCAGGAAGGCCTGAATAAGGCAAAATCCCATGGCATCTTGCAAGATAAGGTTCTTGACTTCCTTTAGAAATGTTAGTATAAACATTTGAGTGCTGTTCACTTGGCAGTAACCATAATTAGAACAGATCAGAAATAATAAAAAAGTTACCCATGAGCTACTAAAGGTGTATTCATGTAACAGTGAAATGTTTTATACTGGGACCACATGAACATTTTAATTTCAAAATCTAGATTAAAGAGAAAATAGTTTCATAGGTTTTACTAGAAAAATGGGGCTTCAGTTCAGAACTGAGAGTTTCTTAATGAGAAATATGCTCTTTAACTGGCTCTTATGATAACCTCAGTCTAGGCTGAAATGTTTTAACCACTGGCTTTCAAGTTTGTTTTATATGGAGTAGGGAAGTTATCTCAGAAGCAGAAAACATCTTCAAGTATCATCCAAATGGTTTTGAATACTTGAATGTAATTCACATATCAAGTCTAGTACTTTTTCATTTTATTTTTTCCCTTTCTGTTTTTTAGTGCATCCTTCATGTTTAGTTGGTTCCTTGGCTGGTTCTTGGTTGTGTTCAATGATCATTTATTCTGAGCTTTTTTGCATAAACATCTTATCTCTGTCTCTAAGGTGATACTGATTCAGAGTTGATTCAAATCCCACTAAAATACATGGAAAGTACTGATTTTGGATCATGGCTCCATCTCTATGCATCCTGTAGATCTACTTTTCAACTTTTAGGAGTTCCTGGTTTCTTTATCATCTTTACCATCTTCCTCTGTCGGTTCTTTGCTTTCATCTTTAGAAAACTAGCAGGAAAAATATTTTTTTTTTTTTAATAATTTCCTATTATTTTTTGTGTAAAAAAGCTACTTGATTATTTGATTTTTTTTTTTTTGGTAAGTTTTATGTTTACAGGGGAGGTTAAATGTATACACTACTATTGTGCTTCTCCTCAATTCACCTTTCAAACGTGACTCTTTCTAATCTGTGTAACTAATGATAGAAAATCAGAAACCAGAGGCTGGTTTTGAAACATCTAAGAAGTATGTGAAGCATCAGAGTCTGGCCTGCCCTTGCAGTCTGGAGGTAACATTGCACAATGTTTTAGCATACATGAGGTTTTAGATTTGCTTTAAGTATAGTTTTACAATATGCAGTTCTCAGTAGGTGAGAAATAGGTTAACTGTCATTAGGGTAGAACCTAAAAAATGATTTTTCCTGAAGATGGTAATAACAGTCTGTTAACTGTCTGTTATCTGGAGATCTTGAATTTGAATCAGTAACTATTTCAGTGAGGAAAAAAAAAAAAAAAAAGTCTAGTCACATCCCCTGTAAAGTTTAGCTGTCATTGATAGCTTCTGTGAGAAAAGTTTCAGTATTTCACTGGAAGCAATTTATACTTGAATACCTTAACCTGACAAATACTTAGATGCCTACTTGTCTTCAAGGAAACAGGTAGTGCCATTGAAATCAGTGGGATTTCTCCTGCTTTCAATGAGCGTGGATCCATGTACTTGACGAGTGAGGTCCTGTCCAGCTTCATCTTTGTTGTATTTCCTTGCTGATATCTTTCCCCAGAGTGATGGGCCAATCCTTTTCTTCATAAGTGGGTTTATTCAGGTGCTGTTTAAAATACTTGAGTATGAAGATAATGATGCAGTGAATAGCAATTCCCAATAAAGTGAAAGCAATCTATATGTGCCAAAAATTAGGTAGGCAGAGCTCACAGTGTGTGTAAACAGAAATGCCTGCAAGTGCAATGTTCCCTCCAAATTGTGAAGCATTATGTGATTGCCTCGTTTAATGGTTAATTATTTACTGCTTGCATATGTGGATTAGTATTATTTATTCCATTTTAGTTAGCTGGAGAAGGAGCACAAATATGGTGTTTTAAATTTGCCAATCAGGAGGCATTTGCAAATATTTCAAATGCTTCTATCTTATTATACTTTAATATTAGACTCAAAGTCTTAGGGTTAGTACTTAGATGGGGCTTCTTTCCTATATTATCATTCAGTATTCTGCAGAAGTGATTTACACAAGACTGTATGCAATTTACCTGGGTTTTGTTTCATTTGCTTTTAAAGAAAAATTGTCCTTTATTAGGAATTAGGTTTAGCAAAGATTATATAATTTTAGCAGTTTTTATAGACTGTCTTAATGGGTTTTTGATCATACATAGCCAGATTGCTCACCCAGTAACCCTGTGGAGATCCTTTACCTTTCACTCCGTGCAACCCTGCTGAAGCCAACAGAGTGGCACTGAGTGCAAGATGGGATGTGGAAGAGCAGGTCAGACCTCGTACATGATGGTCCGTTTAATTTTCTGGGAAAAAAATAGCTGCGTTAATTTGTAAATAATTTTATTTATTAATATTTTTTGTTAGTAATGTGTTCCAGCATTGAGTTCTTTTGCAGGCTGATTCCCTCTGAGTCCCAGATAGCTCCTTGGATTTCATTACATTGTATTGTTTGTCTTTGTCTATTTTTTGGCTGAATTCAACTGATGTCTGTGCATTTTCTCATACAAGGCTATGAAAAATCTCGGAGCTTAAACAACATAGCTGGCTTGACAGGCAATGCTCTGCGACTGTCTCCAGTAACATCACCCTACAGCTCACCTTGTCCTCTAAGGCGCTCTCGGTCTCCCATCCCTTCCATCTTGTAAACCAGATGGCATCAATCGGCTATATAGTATTAATTCAAATACTGCTTACCAGATACTGGACATAAATGTAGCATTAACCATAGGCTCCACAAATATGGTACAACTCCTGCATGATATAACTGTCAGTAGTAAGAAATGCCACTTGGGTAGCTGAAGATTTTTATCTTGGCATTTAAAGATTACCTAAGGTAGTGCTTCTACTTTTATCTACTCTATTGTCCTACTTTCCTGTGGCAATAAAAGGACAGTTAGTGGACGCCGTTGGCCAGTGTATTCAATAAATAAGCTTATTTTCAGGGAGATTTACTTAAAATAATGTGCTTCCAACTAATTCTCAGTCACTCCATTGAACCTCCATTTCTTGTGACTCTAATCCATTCTGAAGATGTCTGGAGTCGTGTCTTGGTTGCACACAGTTGTGACTTGAGTCTGCTCATTTGCATGGACCATCCTGTCTTCATCACCTGACAAGCAGTGTTGCCAATTGTGGAGACCACAGAGGGCTCTGGATGTGTGTTCTCGCATTGTACCATGCTGCTGAAATGAAAGCACTGATAAACTGGTCTGCATGTGGGATTGTTTTCCTTTGTTTAACCTTTCCTTTTATTTTTTAACAATCTACTTGTTTATAAATGGCTTTATTTTGTGATTAACTTACTTCGGTACTGGATTGCTGTATCAGAGTTCTGAATGTCTCCGGTTGTTTGCACACAGATAACTGCAAAGAGGTTGTCATTACTGGTTACACGCAAGCAGAAGCCAGATCTCTTTCTTAATGGCTTGGGGAAGGCACAAAACATGCAAGAAAGGTAAATGCCATCCAGACTTGCAATTTTAAGCTAGCAAGTGCTGCTTGGTACTGTAGTCATTTCTCTACTCCAGGGTTCTTCAACATTTTCACAAGCTGAGTACCAAGTAAAATTGCAAAGATTATTTGGGGCTGTTTTGTACCACTGTGAGAGGGTGGTAGTTCTCAAGTCGGGGTTTTTACCAGCCTATACCTCTGGCTCATGAGCTTCAAAAATTTCTTCAGTCAATGTTTTTTAAGGTGCTTTGTCCTATGTGTTGTTTGTCTGTCTGTTTCGCAACCTGTCTACTGTATTCTCCATCTGTCTCCATAAAGCACAGAGATACTGTTAAAATGCCCCCTTCTTTTAAGGTTAACTAAGGACATTTTTCTCTTTTTTTTTTTTTTTTTAATACGGCCTATACTTATGTGTATAGATACAAATATATACATATATATATTTCAAGTATCATCTAGATGAACTCGTGTGAGCACTCTGAAGATTTTTTTGAGTGGGATTTAGTAATGGCTTTACAGTACCGATGGGTTGCCTATTGCATCAGTCTTCCTAGCAACCAGCGTTCCTTACAGTTTTGAAACTGTATCTCCTCTAGTGGCTTTTTCATTCAATATTAACCTTTGTTTATGCAACAGGACAAAAGCAATGGCAGATTTGATGTTCTGGGCTGATGAGGAAAAATTACCTTAAACCGCAGTTTTAGAACTATATGGGGAAGACAATAACAACCCAAATTTAAGAGGTCCTTGAGACTGTTGAATAATCCCTGATCGTCATGTTTTATTTTTTATTAGGAAAAGAAATATAACTTGTTGATCATGTAACATGTTCTTCTGTATATAGCCTAGCCCAACAGCATGACCTGCATGTCAGAATTCTTGTACAATAATGTATTTATCAAAGTATAAATTTCTGATATTTAGAGATGTACATTGATATAGTTTTGGTAAAATATTGTCAATAGAGAGATAATTGCAAACAGCTTTTAGCAAAGGAATTAATATAATATCTGGTGCTGCTGTTATATTAACTACAGTGTTGTACAGAATTTATCATGGATTTTTGACTGCTGAAAAAGGGACAATGGAATTTAGCCATACCAAGGACTGTACTGGAAAGAGACTGCTGCTGCTGAATGGGCCCTGATAAACAACTCACACCTTGAAGAGGTCACTGAGGCTTTACATGCGAAGTAGAGCTTGTTAAAGAAGATTAAAGACTACTCATAATTACTGCTGCCAGAGAAAGGGGTGACTAGTCACTGTTGATGAGTCAGCTGTAAATAAAATGTGTGTGCATGGAATATCAGTTTTTATCTGTATCAAAGAAAGCTGAATTCAAGTCATCATTGCTCAGGCTCCAGGCTCCATGCAAAGACCCACACCCCTGTGCGTATTACTCCTGGTTCCTGCAGTAAGTTGCGCTGTGGATCATACAAAAACACACACTTAATAATGATAGTGATGTAAACTACATCTGTTTTGACTTCTGTCATAACAATGGTACATTTTGCAAAGGTCACAAATATGAAGAGAGTAGGTTTGCATTAAGTCCTTGCTTACTCAGTTTGCCATGACCTATATTTGTATGAATTCTAGTGTACATGCCAAGTCTTAAGTTTAATTTTCACTTTGATAACAGAAATGTGACTGCAGACAAACATCACTGACTTTGTTCACAGCACACAGTCTTCTTTCATTGTTACCTCAAGCTATAATTATTATGAGAAATAAAATTCTGGCAGCAAGATTATTTTGGTATTTTATTTTATTATTATTCAGTGTTGCAAACCCAACATCAATAAGTATAAAAGATGTATTAAAAGTATATCCTACAAATGTATATTTTACATAAAAGAGATATTCTTTGATCAGTTACTTTCTGTGATTTTTGTGGTAAATGAATTTAGTCTATTCTATGTTTATGAGGCATTGTAGTGATACGATGTGATAATTATGTTCTCTCCATCCTATTCAGTGGGAAATTCTCCAGAATCTGTTTTTGTCACCCTGGTGTCCCAATTGTAGGGACTTGTCCCAGTTGTGAAACTCTGTATTGTGGAACTTCTGTGAACATGTCAAGGTGCATGCACAATCCTGGTGGAAACCAGTGGAAATGTAATACCTGAGTTGGAGAATAAAAGGCAATAGACCTGGGGAGGAACTTGGAACATATCTTCTGAAGTGGCTCATGCGCTTTCTTTAGCAGCATCGGTCCCCTGCCTGCCACTGGCCATCCCCATTCTCAAACCAGTATCCTGGGGTACATAGGGATCTAATCCAAAAACAAGCATGAGCTGGCTTCTAAAACAATTTAAATCTTCCTTCTTGTCAGTGACCCCATATCTTGTGTGGAAATTGTAATTGGGCTTGAAATGATTAGATTCAATGCAGTTTTATTGCATTCTGGTGTGAAGTCAACCTCACAACCAAAAATGGTTTCTTAAAACTCCTAATCCAATACTGGATTTGGGGCAACCAGTGAAATCCATTAATACAGGAGCAGTGTGTCTGAGATGGGTGAGGAAGCTAGAACAGTTGTACACGTGATCTTGAGAGAGCGTTACTGACATATTTTGGAAAAGGTACAGGAATGTAGGAAAGGTTCCAGGAAACAGGATCAAGAGGTGTTCAAGTATTGGAAAACGTGTAATGATGACATACCACAAAAGCTCAATGTGCTGAATTTACCCAAAGGTTAAAAGTTGTCTGTACTGTGACCTGTGAGCAGTATCCACATGAAGAAGAGGTGTAGTGGTTGGCCAGGACAAAGCTCACAGCCAGCTCCAGACACACAGGTCTGTTGTCTGCCCCCAGCCACACAGAGAGAGGTGCCTGGCTTTCCTCAGTGCTACATGAGGATGGTGAAGAGCCCCAGACAGGGTACAGACAAGGTGGTACATTGTTTTGAGCAAGACTATTGGGCCACAGAGTCACTGATGGCCAGATGGTGTCTGAGGTCTTCTGCTGCCTCTGGATGGTAAGAAGCTTAAGCCCGGATGAACCTTCACCCTCACAGAACCTCGAGTCCACAATATCTTGACTACAGCTACTTATTTTTGCCCTAGAGAACCAAGACCATGTTTAAATGCTTTCTTTTGAAACACACCAAGTGTGTTTCAACACCTTTGGACTCTGACCACAGTTGTTGTTGTGGGGCCTCATTCAGCACTGAGAAAACGTTGCTGTTCCAGCAGATTTTGAGACACTTATATTATGGGTGCTATAGGCAAGTATTGTAAATTGTTGCCAGAATTAATAAGCAGCATGCAGCTAATGATGGTTTAATGCTGTATGTCAGGGGGCTTTTTCATGTGTGAAACAATTATTGTTCCTAAAAGTTTTCTTACAAAAGGTCTGGATTTAATTAAATCTGTTAAAAGAGAAGGAAATTTAAGGAAGCCTCTTTTCAGATGGATTACTGAAAACTAGAGGGGCAAGGGACCAATTCGACATGAGCAAACTTGCCAGTATATTTAATGTGAAGATATGAATTTTAAAAGTCATGAATGAATTAACCGTATGAAAGAGGAGAGCATTTTATCATTAGAATAAATCATGCAGAAGTCAGATAAAGAAAATTGGAATGGAAAACTAGTACTAGAAAGAGAAAATGAGTATATTAATATGCTGTATTACAAGCAGTGGCTTGAACAAGTCCATATTAGAGCCTTTGAATACTAACTGAGTGAGAAGAAATTAAAAAAAATGCAAAGGTTTCTATCAGGTTAAAATTATCAGAAATATTAATATTTTGTTAATATTTTCTTTTTAAAATGGGAATACTTGTTTATTTAATTTATAAGGAGACAAGTTATTTAAAAAATGATGGCTTTTGAAGTTGAGAGCTGGCTCATAAGCAAATATGGAGATGTTAGTGTTAGGTGTTGGGTACCTAGCTGGTGGGCCATTACCAGCACATAATTGAATATCCCTGGGACACATTGAAACTGCAGAGGTGTCTGATGGCCCCAAAGATGGGGATCTGTCACATGCCATCTCTGGCTCTGTGGGAATGCCAGGATACACTCCAGCCAGGTGTGAGCAGTGCAGAGCAGCCGGCAGAAGCACTCCAAGCTCTGGTCTACGTGTGGCTTCTCATTGCCTTCTGGAGAACATGTAAGCCTTCCCCACACTCTGCAACCTCCTCTGCAAAACTCATCCTTCTGTTGCTTCCATTTTTTTCCTCATGAGCATGTTGATGAACAGCTGACAGATTTCAGATTCGTACTTTCGCAGCTTCACATTCACAGATGGCAATATTCTAGTATATTTTAAAAAAAATAATTTGGAGGTGGACACTTTCTGAAAATTTGGCATCAAAATGTTATGCATTTCATTTAGCATCTCCTGTATTATTTGCAGGTGGAAGGCTGGAGATCAGTTTAAAACCAGGGCCTCAGCGAGGATATACTGAAACTTTCAGGATGTGTTCATTTTATATTCTGCAACTGGTTAGAGCATCACTGCATTTTATTATCCCATGAGGGTCTCGGTTTTCTCCTCAAGTGGGATTTGAAAATAAGATGCTAGTGCAGGTCAGACAGCACTATTTTATGTTAAATATTTTCTCTGTTGAATGCTTGTGACTCCTACAGGTTTGTAAACGTAGATTGTAATATGAAGAAAAAAGATATTTCTTGGGAAATACTGAGGCTGTAATAGGTGGCTGTAATCCATCTTTGTCTTGCAGAATGGTACAGGCATCTTTTCTTTAAAACACAGAAAATAGATGATTTTGTGTTGGCCTCCTCAGAGCAGCTTTAGACCTGCATAAGATAATGAACTACCAAAAGAAGAAAGTGGAATTTCTTTCCCCTGACCTTAACACAGCTTGTTTGCAAAAGCAGCAAGATCAGAGTTATTTAAGAAGCTTGGCCTTTGCAGTGAAACAATGTAAAACTCCATCATTCTGAAGAATAGTAAAGCATAGCCACGTTATCCTATTAGGCTGATGCTAAATATAGAATGGATTTTCATTTTCTTACAGGGATTTCCTTGCTTTGTGACTAAATGCAGACCAGGATTTTATGAAAATCTTATTTTCTTCATGCTTATGGATGTTGTTGGTACAATACAGTGTTTGGCACTCTGAAAGTCTTAAAACAATGTCACTTTTTAGTAGTACTTTTTTTTCATTTTGCCACCTCGAAAAATAATTTCTTTTCTGAACTGGAACACTAGAAAGGGGGATAGAGGGGACATTGAAGGACATGGTTCTCTGGAACTCTTACAGAATCTGCTGCATACAACTGCAACCCCACAGAAATAAAAATATGCAACTTTCCCTATGTCAGTGTCTTGATATTGACTATAACTTTTACAGTTTTGAAACTCCTCAGTTTTGGTTGGTAATCACAGCAACAAAATTTATGTAGTTACTGCTGTTTATAACCTCTACTTAACCTCTGATAAGTTTGCTTTAAATCTGTGATGAATGGAGCAGTTATAGAGCTTAACAGCACTAGGACCAAGCTCAGAGAAGAACTTATGCACAAACTTAACAGGCTCATCTGTAATTATTGAAGAGTTTTCTCATTACAGGACATCAGCTGAATGACTTCCCAGTGTGAAATGGCCTCAGTGAAATGAATGGCAAAGCTGTCCTTGGCTTACTTAAGCCAGACTAAGTCTTTGGAAGCAACTGGTTCCAGGACATTTATCACCAACATCTCAGTATTGAAACATATTTCAGCTGAAATGATCATAATAATAATAACTATAGTAGTATTACAATAATGTCATTTATCACTGTGGTCACTGATTCTGGTCTGAGCACAAGCAGCCATAAGGATATGCAGCCACAGCTTTTTTCTGTGCTCTATTCTCCTTTATTCCATCCTCCACTGACTGCTGCAGCTGCAGCAGTACCTTCCACACAAGTGCTGGGGGCTTCACGCTGCTGCTGAAAGGTCCAACCTCTGCCCACTCCCTGGTGCAGGGGTGAGGAGAAGGTGGCCATTGTCACCTCCATACTCAGCTCACCCACAGAGTGTGCAGCAACACCTCTTTCCCATGCATTCCTGGTGCCTGCTCCAAGCAAGCTGCTTCAATTTCTCCAGAGCTGAAGAAATGGATCAAACATGTTCAGAAAGTGATTTTACCCATATCTTAGATACCTCTTTCAATAGGAGTCAAACTCATCCCTGGGAGTGCCTACTGACAGAAGAAGCAGCCAGAGCTGGCACGGGGCAGAGACTCAGTGTGGAGGCAATGTACCCCTGCTCCAGTGCCTGCCTCTCCCAGTGCTTGCCAGCTCTCACAGATGTGTGGTACCAAGCCTACTTCATGAAGCCTACTTCCCCTCCACTGCCCCAGAAACGGTTTCTTTTTTCAGCACTTGTCTTCTTCTTAGAAGAGGAAGGGAGTGTGCAGTCAGAGACTACCCAGCAGGTGGTTCATGCTCAAGTCTATGTTGGACTGACATGGCCCCACACTGATTCCCAAGCACTTTTTTTTTCTTTTTCCTCTTCTCCTCAGTTATGCACCTCTGACTGAAACCATTGCATCATGTGAGCTCTGGGCAGACTTCAAAAACACTCTTGTAAAAGCATTTGGCTGAGAAGCTCTAAACAGAATTCATGTTAATCATTTGTCTTTTTCTTTTCCTTCTGCAATCTCCTGAACCCACTGTGTA